GGTCCTTGGACCCTTAGGGAGAGTAATGTTGACATGTGCCTGAACGGCCGTGAAGAAGGAAGTCGGTGAAGCGCGCAACCCGAGCCTCCACAGCAGTCTTGGTGTCGCAGTTCGGGTTTGGACTTTAAGGTCCTGATTTAGAGCGCAGTTTAGGGTTCAGGGTTTAGGGCTTCATGCCGCCTGGGTAGCTGCATTACCTTACCATTTTGACTAGCCCAAATACATGGTACAGCATCGCGCTACTTGGCCACTTCTAGTCATGGGCTAGATACTTGGGCAGCCATCGTAGGGCCCTAAACCCTAAACTTGAAGCTTTAACACTACTGGGAAGCTCTTGCTAAGTCGAAAGAGCCTCCAGGTATCCCCCCTAAATGAAAGTTGGTTAGGCTAAGTGAAAGTTGATTTGCGGGAATTCAATGCAGGTAGTATGTACTAGTATGGGGAGGGGGAGGGGGGACCCATCACATAAATGAGGCACATGTCTATCGAAACAGGTGTCCCCTCATATTACCCCAATGCAATGCTGGTATCCTCTTAGTTCAAGTAAGTGTTGCAATTTCATAAGGGGGACTACCCAGACCTGGGCAGATCTAGAAAGCAGCTCCCCCTTAAGAGTCCTTAGAAATTAACCAATCGTAGCATTAGTTGTCATATTGGGCACTCTATTTCCCGGATCCTCCCAGGGGTCTGGGTCAGGTACAAAACTCTGTTTTACAGGTGACTGGGCTTGCAAGCGCTCAGAACGAGGTTTCGAAATAAACCCAACTCCTCAGCTCCTAACCCCTAAGCCCTAGAAACGTCCACAATGCTGTTGATACTGAAGCTCCTGCATGACCTTAGCGACTAAGTTACCATAATTCCTGAGTTTAGGTTGCTTAGGGTCAGGCAAGATTTAAAGTATCAACCATAACACCCTAAACCCAGAGCTTTCAAGCACTGGAAGTCCCGGACGCTCTTTTTGTTCCGCGACCAGTGCTTTGCATCTGTCGTTCAGCTGGCCTGCCGTTGTGCTAATTGGATCCGTCCCAAATGCCGCAGCGACTTGCACAAGGTTCCCCAGTAACACCCTAACAATAGGGGTAACTTGTTGCGCCAAGGATCATATATAATCCCGGCAACAATACAGCACATGAGGCCTCTGGGCAAATCTGCAGCCACACTCTCAAACTCTAAGCCCTAAATCCCGGACACCCTGGAAGCATGCAGCAAGGACTGTTGGCAGAAAAGGAAAACAGTGCCCAAATGGGCCCTAAAGCTATTCTCCAAGCGCTACAAACCACCAGCTTCCATCCCACGCAACGGTCCTTTTAGAAGCCCAAATAAATAAAACCAAAACTTTCTGTGGATATGTCATTTGCCGCTGGCTGAAGAATGCGACAGCCACCTGGCTTGGGTGCGGGTGCGCCGATAGTCTGGGGCTCGGCTCAATTTGGCTCGGGGCTTAGGGTTTAATATTTCAGTCCCTGTGACGGGATTATGTAAGGTTATATGAGCTATAGTCTAAACTCCTACTATCCCCCTTAGTAGCCCCTATAGTAGTCCCCTAAATAATCCCCTATATAATTCCCTTTAAGGAGTTTAGACTACAGTTTATATAGTGACATACAGGAGTATATGGGGTTTAGGGTCCCTGTTCAAGGCAGTATATAGGGTGCAAGGCAGGACACCTTGAAAGGGAATATCTACAGTTTTATAGGGATGTACAGGGCTATGATTACAGGGTGTAGGGGCTCAAACAGTGGAAACAAGGTTTCGGGCATGTTCTACTGTGCTAGGAAGTTTATCGGTAACTATGCCGGCTCCTACATTGCGGTGGGGGGCTTGGTTGTTTGGGATGTGGCGTGTACACCTGAACCCTAAGACCTGGACCCTAAACCCTAAACCCTAAACCCTAAACCGCGTGGGGTTTGGGTGTAGGGTTTTAGGGCCCTTTGTCTACTTCGGCTTTAGGGCTTTAGGACTTTCGGGTGCTGAGGAGGCCCAAGCAAGCGAGTTGTAGTGCGGACTTTAGGTTGAGGATTTAGGGTCTCGGGTTTAGGAGTTTCGGGGTTTAGGGTTTAGGGGTTTAGGGCTTAGGGTTTAGTGTTCAGCGTCTACTCAAATATGAAACGACAGGGAATATAGAACCCTAATTCCTAAACCTTTTATTATAAACCTTTGAAGCCTAAATCCCTAGACCTTAAACTGTAACATTGCGTTGACTCTGGACTTTTTACGTATTCCGGCTTGGACTTCAGCCCAGGGGGATGGAGACTGTCCTGCCTGGATGCTTTAAGGTTTAGGGTTTAGGCGTTTAGGGTTTAGGGGTTCAGGGGTTCAGGGGATTAGG